TGGTTGAGATCATCAAGTTTGATGATGTCAACTAAAGAGTCGGTGCAGGGGCAGGGCAAGCATCGAGAAGAGCTGTGCAGCTTTGGAAAAAGGTGAGTAAAATAACTTTTTACCTTGCTGACAGGGGTCCATGAATCTTAATAGCACTAGTAGAACTATAGTGTCATGAATACAAGTTTGTATGCTTAACAGTATAGTGTTCCTTTAAATTTATCTCAAATGTACTGCCTATTATAATCACTTTATCCCAAGTCTATTACAGGAAAGCTTGATAAAAGGTCAACATCATTAGTTATTACCAGATCCAGACATTTCTGTAGTACATTTCGTAATAAATTAATGCATTGTTGAATAGCAGACTGCTCATTCAATACATTGCTAAGTGTTTGTTTAGAAACAAAAATGAGTGATGCTATAAATTCCTTTTTCATGATAAACATTTTCTTTAAAAAAAAAAAAAATGCACAAGCTAGTTTCTGATACCTGGCAATGGAGTAACTTTAATGAACCACCTAAAGTTTCAGATTTTATGATCAAACAATCGAAGGGGATATTTGCTGCTAAGTTTGCCAACATGGAGAAAATGTATTACATCAGAAAGGGAATTGTCAGATAATTGTCAAGCAACTATATTAAAAACCTACATTTTATTTGTCATGTTTATATTTTTGGTGCGACCACTTTTTTTTTTTTTTTGGCAGAAGGTTTGCACTCAAGGGTATTTATTTTGATTGACTTGGATAAATATCTTGGATAAATATCAGGATAAGTTAAAAACTTGAGAGTAAAATCCAAAAATAATGTGGACTATGGGTGATTCTCACCCTAGAGGTGGCCTCAAAAAGCTTTTTACATATCTGAGCTATTGCAGATAGTATCACGATTCTGGAACCTAACACGCTAACAGAACACAGAGAGGAAAGATGCTATACCGGTCCTTAGAGTGGCCTGGCTAAGCACACTAAGAATGGTCAGGAGACAAGCCAGAAAACGGGAGAACGAGAAACAAGCCGAGGTCAAAGCAGTGGAGAAGACAGGATAATCGGAATAACGAGCCAAATAATCGGTAACCAGAGAGAAACACGAGCAAACTGCAATAAAGGTATCACAAGACCACAACAGGGCACTGAGAGACAGGAAAGGTAAGTAAAAATACCCTTTGCTTAATTCTGATTGGATAACTTCCAATCAGAATTAACAATCACACGTGGGAGATATCTACGCCTCCCACTGTGATTGTGGTACTGTTTGCATAAATTTGCGACCTCCCAGCGTGCAGCGTTATACATGCTGCCGCTGGGAGGCGTGGAGGACGTGAGCGGTGAGCGGCGGAGAGGAGACGTGCAGCCTCCCCTCACAGCCGCTAGCTTCTTTATGGTTCACAGCGGTCTCTCCTGCACAGACCCTCTTGAAATGCCATGAACTTCTTGTGAGCACACAGTAAATACAGTAGATTCAGATGATCATTTTGGTCTTCATAGACATCATCAATGAGGTATGACTGATACACCTCTAGAGACACTGCAAAAAGGAAAAGATGATCTAATGTGTGACATTACTGGAAGGAATATAATAATGCACCCAATTTTGACCCATCATTCAATGCCAAGTCCTTTGCACCCACATCCATTTTTGTGTTAAAAATGCAAAAAACAATTATGAACGCAAACCCCAGCCAGCACCTGCAACCAAGTGGCCATCAAAAAAGACCGAACATACCCCACCTGCAAGACCCCGGGCTGTCCCCCTTTTTTATTTTGTCAATCATACTTTTATTGAGGCAAAGTATAACATTACAGAATAAAGAAAATGGGTTATAGCAGGTGAGTACATTTCAGGTATACAGTTGTAGCATATATTATAACCTTAAGAATTTTAGCTTTTTTTGTAATATTAAACAAACTAAGGAAGCTAGGCAATTGAGTAATACTCAAAGTAGGTTAAGTGTAGCAAACTAATAAGCGTTATGAATTTGTTACAGTAGGCTTTGAGATTATGTGTCAGAGGGTAAGAATCGCTTGTTTAGTCTACAATGTTATCCACTGAAACTAGCATCTCTTTAAAGCTGCAATAAACCGGTGGTAGCTGTAAGTGTATGAGCAATAGAGCTAACAGTAACCAGGCATCTAACAGGAACAACAAATACAAAGGCAAATACCAGCTGGAAACCCAGTTGTGAGGATGTCCCATTGCCGGGGTCAGCTGATCCCCATGAGCGGCAAGTCTGGCGTCAATCCAAATGAATTGTTAGAGTAGTCGATAGGTGCATTTGCTTTGGTATCAGCTTGGGTGCAGCAGGTTGGTAGAATCAGCGAGCCAGCCGATGCAGCTGATGGGCTACTTTAAACAGTGCCTTTCCAGACCAGATCCTTCGCACTGTGGGGGCCTCCCCACGTACCTCAGTTACTGTACCTCAGTTACTTTTATCCTCTGAGATGTCCACAGAGTCCAGGATACCCTCCACTCCCGAGCACTCCCCCGTTATATATGCCATGTGGAGTAGTCCGCAGATAACTGCTCATGGGTCCGTGTAGCCAGAATGACAGTCGTCTTCGGCCGAGGCCTTAACAGGAGCCCTTGCCTTGTATCCACTGATCCCATCATCAGGATCGTGGGACCAGGAGTTCTACATGTTCCAGTTATCCCCCTGAGAGTATGGATGGCGGAGGAGAGATTTCTCCAGACGGGTTCCCAGCTCGGAAGCAGGGTGAGTGGCCCGGGCACCAGTGATACCCATCTGTGCGGTAAGGTGTGTCAGTGAGTGGGCACTTTGTGCCAGCCCGGGCCGCGACTTGGAAGTGGGGTAAGCTGCTGGGTCTGCTGTGGGAGGTGGCTGTACATCAGCTATTTTGTGTAATTGCAGAGGTTTTGTGCAGGCCTCGACCTGTGCCCAGAATTCTGAGCAGATCCTGTCAAAGGTGACTAGGAACTTGGCCTTCCAGTTCGGTACTGAGAGCTCTGCTTGTTTGCCGGCTATCTTGACCATGTCACAATGGTTTGCTGCAGCCGTGCTGGTAATCTCAATGATGCTTGTGAGTGTTCGTTAGCTTTTCCTCCAGTGGTGACCGGGATATCCTCCATCGGTTCAGGGGGGGGGGCGGAGTAGCTGTATCACCTGTGCAGTAGCTGTATCACCTGTGTGGAAGACCGGCCGGCTCTCCCCTCCGTGGGACCCGTTAGGTGAGTAGGCCTCAATAGCTGTAACAGGCCTTAAGTTATCAAGTGTGGCTCCAAAGTCGCGAAAAAGGTTAACACGGTAAAGGAGTTTAAGCATGCGTGGGATAGGCATAAGGCTATCCTAACTATAAGATAAGGCCCGGGACTAATGAAAGTATTTAGAAAATTGGGCAGACTAGATGGGCCGAATGGTTCTTATCTGCCGTCACATTCTATGTTTCTATGCTTCTATGAAAAGTGCTCCCCAGTTGCTAGCTGTAGGTAGTTACTCATTTGGGCAGTTCCTGGGGATGTCACCTCGCTCTAATATCATGTGTCACACTGCTTATGTGAGGAGCTCATTTCAAGAACATCTATCGGCCATGAAGGTTAGGCCCCAGGGTTAAAACAATTTTAACAAGGTTCTATCTTTTAACAATTTCCAAATATACCATAAAAGAAACTATGACTTTTAAAAACACTACTTATCTTCAAAGTCGAGTTTAAAGATATTTTACAGCATAAAAATAAACTTGTAGTTAGATATTTTATAATGATTTTGACCTTTTACACCATATTAATGCTAACTGCCAGAATATTAACATTTTACAATTCAGAATGTTAGGTTCCAACAATACTGCGAGACAAAATATTTGTGTTAGAAAGTATAATTAAGTAGACATCTCTTAGGAATTGGAGATATAAGAACTGTTTTTACAGGTGAGTGTGGAACAAAACTTAAGCCATTGCAACAACTTGGTTTTCTGTAATGTAAACACAAGTCATTTATAATACAGAAAATGTAAAGGAATATTGTTTTGTTTTTTTCTTGTTTTTTTTTCAGTCAGAGGTTAAATAGCACTAAATATTGTTTTTTTAATACTTTTATTTTTGTTTAACAATTTTTCAAAGCGTTATCTGTGTGATGGATAAAAAAAAGTGTGTCACTTCCTGCCCGCAGTGTCTCTTTAGGATAGTCTAAGAATAATACAAACACTACAGTGCGGCAGGAGTCCCCATGTTACCACAGTAAGTAGTCAAACTGTCCTTTCATCTGATGTCACTAAAGCAGAAGTTCCTAATGTCGGTGGATGAAATTTATTGGCTGAGAAATTGATATATCTAATGCAGAAGAGGAACTTCCTCTTTAGATATATCTGATGAGCAGGTTACATCTGCGTAACCCATGAGATCAAGGTAAGTATCAAACTATTAGAAAATAATTCAACTACTTACAATATGTAGCAACATAACACACTTTAGAGCTTACGGTGCTTGGAGGGCCTTTTTTTTGTAATTCTTTATTTTTGATATTACATAAGAGAAAGAAATTCATACATGGACATCTGTATAGGTACAATAGCAAATCAACAATATAACAAATAAAGGAATACTGTCGTCGTCGTGGACACATGATGACACACAGATATAAAGTAGAAACATGTCTACACCTGTCTTTACTTATGCGTTTGTAAGGATGCTACGTCTATATGTTGAGTCATGTTTTTACAATTTTATTGGAAAGCTATAAATCTTTTTTTTTATTAATATTTATTGATTTTTTCAAATATAAAAAACACAAACAATTACATATCATCAGAAATACAATATTTGGCATCCCAACGACACTACAGATCCCAGTACTTTTGTTATTCAAGTCAAACTACTTTAAGATTCAATAATTCTAAAACACTGACAAACTTCAAAACAAAAAGCACAGGATCAAATACGATGGTCTCTAGTCATTAGGAAATACAAAAAAGGCTTCAAATTACAGACCTTCATAATGCATACCATGCATATAGACCATATTTTATATTTTGAACCTTATAATGAGATCCCATGGAGGAAGGAGAGATGAGGGTGGAGAGCATCCCAAGATACAAAGAGATACAGATATGAATCTATTCAGGGAGTTCTCTCAGATTTTATTTTTAAGATATATATATACTTTATGCTTCTTGAATAACGTTGTTCCATATATTCTATCCATATTTAATTATAGGTAGGGGCTCCCTCTCAATCTTTAATTGGAAGGAGATTTGAGTTTTTAATATCCCGCACATTGGGGGCTCACTCTGCTTCCAAAGTTTTACAATACATTCTTTTGCTGCTATCAGAATATGAGTTGTTATATCTCTATCTTTCTGCAAAAATGTAGGCCAGTCAAGATGTAGTAGGGTAGTTTTGGGAGAGAAAATCATGGGGGGGGGGGGCGCATGAGAGTCTCTAATATGTTAATTCCCAAAAAGGTTTTAATTTCTGACAGTTCCACCAGATATGAGTATAAGAACCTTCTGAATGGTTACAACACCAGCAAATAGAGGAATATGTAGGGAACATCTTATTAATTTTCTTTGGAACCAAATGCCATCTAGTTAATATCTTATACTGCAACTCTATGAGATTAAGGCAATGTATAAATTTCTTAACTTCTAGTATAATCTTATGCCAGTCCAAAATTCTAATATCTATTTCAAGGTCACTTTTCCAATTATTTTTTATACTTATAACTGGGTCTGTTATAGATGGATCTTCATCGTCAAAAATGGTACTTCTCATCAAAGTTCTTACATTATCTCCGTATTTCAATAAACATTCCAATCCCTTGTTTTTCATTTTTTTACATGTAAATTTTCTCAACTAGCTTTTTATTCTACAATAGCGGAAGACTTCTTTTGGGGGAATATGGAATTCGAGAGCTATTTCGTGGAAAGATTTTATATAAGGACCATTTAAAATTTCAGTTAAAACATTTATACCATTCTTTTTCCATGTACATAGATTGATTTCCTCCATATTATATTCTAGGAGGCATACACTGCTCTTAGATCGAATAATGTTATCCCATGGCAAGTTGCATTCCATCTTGAATCTAGACCAGAACTTTAGAATTTGATAAGTAAAATAGTTAGTTTTTCCCACCATTATTACCTGTAGTCCTGTCAATGCCCAGTCTTTTGGGATCAATCCACAATAAAAGGGGAAAGCTATACATCTTGGGGAGTTATTGTTTCATATGGAAAGGCAGGCTTGATCGCTGTGTCCCAAAAATATAAGCTTCTATATTGTCGCAAGTGGAGCTTATTTCGATATCTAGTGGCCTATCAGTTACATGACAGGCAAATTGGAAAGTCTAGGGCCATAAAGAAAAGCGAGTGATGTATCAAATGAGGCAAGTGTAGAGGAATGTAGGCAAGCAGTGTGGAAGGGAGGAGTAGAAAAAAGTAATAGACAAGAAAGAAGGTAGAGAAGAGGGGAGGAGGAGAGAGAAGAAAAGTAGAGAAAGGAATAAAGAAGACCCGGGCCGGTCCACGCCACCACCCCCTCTCTTCCCCCCCACGCAAACCCTCCACTTGGAAGGAGAAGGAGAAGGCACAGAAGAAGGGGAGGGGGGGCAGCAGGGAGAGGGAGAAGAGAAGGAAATCTGCCATTAGGCTGCAAGGGTGCAAGCCATCCAGGGCTCCCATATCTTTTCCAACTTCTTCATTGTACCCCTGACTCTTGCTGTTAAGTCGTCCATGAGGCAGGTATCTTTAATCTTAACTATGACTGCCGCCACAGGTGGGACCCTTGGTTTCAGCCAAGCCTTTGCTACTAATCTCCTTGCTGCTAATGTGATCATATGCACTAATTTTTGTTTGCGCCTGGTTCACCCCTCTACCGATCTGTTCAAGAGGTATACCCAGGGGTCGAGGTCTGGAAGAACTTGGTTATGAGGCCCTTAATAGTGGTCCTGAAGGTTTGTGGAGTGCCGTTTTAATAACAAAAATAGCCCCGAACCACTTACATTCTGAAAATCACATATTGCGCCTAACAAATCTCGGAGCATTGGGATGGCTTTTTACGTGTGACTTTTGACTCATATTCTTGAAGACACGTAGAAACTATAAATATGATGCATAGTGCATTGATGTTTCTTTTAACAGCCTACACACAGATGTAACTGCACTAGATAATGATACAGTACCAACATTTTCTGCATTTTTAAATGCTCTTTACAATAAGCAAGGGAATCCCCATGTTTTACAGATTGTCAAACATTCACTCATTCTCACATAATAGTTTCTGTATAGTAAGTTTAAGTATAAAAGAAAAAAAAGAAAGAAAACTGAAAATAAAGGACAAGTAGCTGTACATTTTAATATTCTATTTTGCAAAAGCACTTTATTCAGCCCCTGGCTGGCCGTCAGGCAATGTACGTCACCTTCAAATGTTTGAGAATGAATGACAGATAGTCTTGTAAATTAACTTTTACACTGAAGTCTGAAATAAAGGTCTAAACTCTACTCATAATTCTAGAATCATCTGGATTTTATTTCCAATGAAAAATGATGTCCCTCTCTCAGTTTCATTTTTCAAGTCCTGTCCTATGCAGTTTAAACCCAGCAAAAATCTTTTGTGTTAGATATGTGCTGGCATTCTGGTAATTAAAGGGACACTCTTACCAATCTAATTACTAAGGCTGATTGTGATGGTTACATTGCCTGTGGTCTCTGTGCACAGTCCCTAGCTCTATAAATAAAGCTGCCTAGGAGGCATTTAACAAACAATGGGGTCCTCTTCGGACTACGCCACTGCCAACCTATCCGTGCCATCCATGTTGTATGAAACTGACATTGGTAAAGTAAAAATGTTAATTCCACATTATTACTGTAGTGGAGGACTGTGTGATCTCCAAGTGCTGTGCAAAGTTTGCATATTTGTTTTTAATCTCAAATTACTCCTAAACAGTTTGACATAATATTGGGGGATGGTGCATAGAGACTCAACATAAGAACTACATCAAGCTGTAGTAGTTATGTTGCTTAGAATGAGGTTTTAAAAATTGCAACTTGGGTGATATATTTTAATTTGTGTATGTCCACTCATCGCAACAAGAAATGTACATGTCAAATTTGTTTAGTAGTACAATTCTGAAAGTCTACGTTCTCATATTGTCTGTTCTCTATTATCCAATCCACAACAATCAAGAAATGAAGACTGTGAAGTTGTCCTATAGAGTTAGTCTGCAATACACTACACTGACACTTGCACAGCTCGGAAGCAGTCTTTTCAAATATAGGACACATATATGCTTGAAAATTATTATTATTATTATTATTATTATTATGTTATTTTTTATATAGCGCCAACAAACTCTGCAGCGCTTTACAGTGGGTGGACGAACAAACATGTATTTGTAACCAGACAAGTTGGACACATAGGAACAGAGGGGTTGAGGGCCCTGCTCAATGAGCTTACATACTAGAGGAAGTGGGATATAATAACACAAAAGGTAAGGGTAGTATTAGACTAATGACAGTTGCAAGAGAGGAATCAGTCAGGAGCTATTAACAGTTTAATTGATACGCTTTTATGAAGAAGTGGGTTTTTAATGATTTTTTGAAGGAGTAGAGACTGGGTGAAGGCGGAGGAGGGAAGTGAGTTCCACAGGAATGGTGCAGCCCTCGAGAAGTCAAGAACCAGAATTTTAAATTGAACCCTATATCTTACAGGAACCCAATGTAGGGACTGACAGAAGGGTGAGGCGTGGGCGGTGCGGGTGGACAGGAAGATGAGCTTAGCCACTGCATTCATTATGGACTGAAACGGTGCACGTTGGGAGCACGTAAGACCACTGACAAGCGGATTACAGTAGTCAAGGCGAGAAAGGACAGTGGAATGGACCAGCACCTTAGTCACATCTGACGTTAAGTAGGGTCGGATACGCACAATATTTTTGAGATGGAAGTGGCAAGATTTGGAGAGGTCGTAGTCAAAGAGAACACCTAGGCAGCGAGCCTGCATGGTGGAGCTGATGGTAGCACTGTTGACTTGGAGGGAGACAGACACAGGAGTAGCAATATCTCCATCGAGACATAATTTCTCTAACTTGTCTTGTTATCTTTCGTAGACCTGAAACCTGCTCATGTCCTGTCTAGCTGTTGCTATCAACAATAGAACATTTCTTGAGGAAGAGCCATCTTCAATGGCCTTCAGCTATCTGTGATTCTTCCCTTCCTATTAACTTTAGTGTTTCATAGAAATGTTTTGCACTTGTCAAGATACATTTCCTTTGTGGTTGTCAGATTTGCAAACTGTGAAATTACCATTTAAATTGAAGGAATGGATATATTAAATACTTAGCTATAAATATATTATATTTTAAAAAAAATTGATATTAATATTATCTGAGTTTGAGGGCTATTATGATATGAGATATGAGAAATCAGTAGTGTCAAACTCTTGACCTCTAGGGTCGCAAACACACAGATATGAAGAAAACATTTAACACATAACTTGATTATATGTTAACTAGAGAAATATTATGCAGCTGTGATAATGGGTCTAGTATAGACTTTATCACTTGTGTTAGAGACCATAGGTTGCTCTTTCTACAAGAATAATATATATAGGTACTGATTTTTTTAAGGTTCTGTTATTACAAATAATGTTAAAAATATAAATAAAATTTCCATGGCAAAGGTGATTTATTATCCAAGAAAACCATGTTTTTCAACAAGACTTTTTATTAGTACACTGTTGTTTATCAAATATTTCACACATACTTAGCTCTGTGTTATGCTAGGCGGTCATTGTTAGCGATCCGATAACACACCCAAAATAAGACTCTCTTTAGTTCCCACAAACAGATGCCAAGAATGAAGTTTACAAAATTATAATGTTTGCTGGAACATATTTTCATGGTCCTTCAACTAATATGTTATAATCATATCAATACATTGTATGTTTTCCCCTGCTCTTTCAAGAATGTAGGCAAACACTAAACATTTGCATTCTGTGTCATATAATCTTGACCTTTTCAATATTCCATATTTTGACTGGATGGTCACCCCAGGCTTACCTCATGTTACACCCTTTGAAAACTACAGGGAACATGTTAATTACAAGCCAACAATATCAAATACTGAAAAAGGCTGGACAGTGGTGAAGCTCTTTGAAGGAAGAAATGGTAATTAGATAAAAATACAAAGATCAGTATAAACAAAAACACATCGCTACTTACCATTTTTCAGAGACGAAGCTGTGTCTTGTTCTGTTTGTAACCCCTCTTTTGCTTCCAGTCTGGCAAATGGAGAGCTGTCGCCATC